CTGACCGCTTAGACTCTAGAATGTGTGTTTTGGGTCAGGAGAGAGAGAGAGAGAGAGAGACAGAGAGACAGAGAGACAGAGAGAGACACAGAGACAGAGACAGAGAGAGAGAGAGAGAGAGAGAGAGAGAGAGAGAGAGAGAGAGAGAGAGAGAGAGAGAGAGAAAGAGAGAGAGAGAGATTGTTGTACCCAATCTGTGGTATTTTGGTATTTGCTGAGGAAGTCTCAGTAGCTCATATATTTGAAACAGCATGTGACACAGGGCCACAAGGTCTGCATATTATATGTTTCTTCTGAGGATCTGAGAATTTCACAACTTTACTAGATTTTGATTAATTTTCTAAAATCATCTAAGCCACTATGAGCTACCCAGGCATCTATTCAGTAAGGAATCTGTCTTTCTGTCCTAGCAGGAGATTTCTGGGTACCTGGACAACCAAAGGGGTATTTGAGATTTTGAGCCTGGAGAGCCCATCATAGCACTGCTTACCAGGTCACATGGCACAGCTATTGGCTCCATCAGTCACAGCACAGGACTGTTTCTCCAACTGGCCCACCATTGATGGTTAATTATCATTATCAACTTGAATGGATTAAGAGATGCCTAGGTAATTGGCAAAGCATAGCTCTGGGTGTATCCATTGTGGCATTTCCAGAGACCATGACAGGGCACTTACCTAATTAATAAATTATTCCCTTAATGGATTCATCATATGGTGACATGACCAGAACGTGGTAAAAAGATAGAAGGTGAGACTAGGTTGGGGAATAGGTCACTGACGGCATGTCTTTACAGCTGTGCCATGCCCTGGCCTCTTCCCATGTCCCTTTCTCATGTTTCCCATCTGAAAATCACTGTATACTCCCCCTTCCATGACACCCTGCCCAAGTGCATGGGACCAAGAGACAGTAGTCTGTACCCTCTGAGGACAGGAGCCAAACTGCACTATCAATTATTTTGTCACAGCGATTTCACAAGTGACTGCTATGTACACCCAGCACTGACATGGTTCTCTTATTCCCACAGAGGTTCTCATGAGCTATGCGTAGCTTGGCCTCACATCCCTCACCCCTCAAAGCCTGCAGCAGCACCCCCTTTCCAAGCGCTCCATCAGAGCCTTTAGACAGGTCGCCTCATTTCCACAGACTGAGGCATCATTGTGTGAGCACATTTTCCCAGGAATCTAATAGACACCATGCCCCCATCATTACTTGATTTTGTGGTTCTAAACAGTATCACCCCAAAGGAGCAATTTAGAAATTAGTGGCTGTGGCTTTCAGGGTCTCGCAATAATTAGGCGCATTACAGCCCTTGGTGAGAAGAATGATAGATACCCGTCCTTCTGCGGTGTCTGGGGCAGTGCTGCACAGTGGATAATTGCCCCTTACCCTGCATAACTTTCAGATGTCTGGCTTAATTTCATGGAGAAGGAAAACTTACACACACTCTCGAAAATACATACTGACTCCCTACTATGCGCTAAGTGTTCTTCTTGGGATTCAGGATGTGTCCCATTCTCTGCTTTCTGGTGCTTGTAGAAACTTCAGTTCTCCAAGCCTGGAATCTAACTTGATTTTTAACAGACAGTGCTTTTGTGCTGTCTGAATATCCAGTGTTTTCCTGAAATGCAAACCACCATGCAAATCAAAGGAGTGTGGTGATTTTCATTCTGAACTATTCCAAGAATTGTTCACTCCGTCAGGAAACCACATCACTAACTGTATCAGTTCTCAGAACAGCCACCACTGGTACAGTGTGGATTAGATACACGCTATCCAATCCACATTGATAGCAGCGGCAGCAACAGGGTCCCCTGGATGAATCACACATGCTCCACCTCTGGGTTTTTCTCACATACCCAGGTCTAGGCACTTAAGAGTCAGAAACTGATATTGCAAACATCCATTAGCTCTAGCTGCTTTTCTGCCTAATTTTTATACCTCCTGTTTTATATCTCCTGTTTTCTATTGTGTGTGAGGCTGACTGGATTATCTGTGAATCTCATTTTAGGGTGGAAGGTGAGGTATAAAATTATTTTTCTAATAAAGAGGGCTCACTTTATCTGAGAAATTACAAATCTCTTGCTTAATTAAATACCTGACCAGCTAGTCCGGGTATCTAGGTACCTCTCAGGGTATCTAGTAAAGTCTGATATAGGAGATGTTTCAAACTCCACTTTCAAAACTTAGGATCCCCATCAGAGTAGTGAATTTGAGGAACACTCCCTTCAGCAACCAAATCCACTGAAAGTCTTGCCACAAAGTAAAAGAATAAAGTACATGACTATTTCTAGTGAAATAATGAGCATAAATTGAGACACACACACATACACACACACACTCACACAACACTTGGACTTCAAGCTAAGTTAATATCCCAAAACTCTTATACATTTCTACTTCAATGGAATAAATTATAAAAATATGGGGTTGGGGATTTAGCTCAGTGGTAGAGCACTTGCCCAGCAAATGCAAGTCCCTGGGTTTGGTCCTCAGATCTGGAAAAACAAAAACAAAACCAAAACCAAATTATAATACACTCAGTGATGATTTATTAAATCAAAGAGCACAAGCTAAGTCTTAAGATGTTTGGGAAGGTCTCAGTGTTCCATAGATACACATGACAAGCTGCACAACCCTCTGCTATGCCTTGACAGACCCAGGACCACTGGATCACACAGAGAACTCCAGTCCCCAGGAAGACACAGAGCAATCTAGAAGGAAAGGGAAAAAAAACAACATTGAAGGGATTTGCCTCCAGAAGGACTCAGCCAGAGTTTAACTAAAGAAGAGGACGAGCAATAAGAGCATTGAAAGGTGATGCCATATGTGGTTACGAGGGTTGGAGAGGCAGTCCGAAATGCATAGCACAGGCCATTGCAGAGGGCAACCTGGAGGCCAGGGCATGAACGAAGCTGCTGTCCACAGCAATAATTTCCTCCCTTTAGGAAAGTCCCAGAGCTGATTGAATCATGTAACTATGGCTGGAAACTGAATTCCCAGTGCCACAATGTTGGAAGGAGGCATCTGACAAGAGAAGATGGCGTCATGATGGGTCTGCTCTCTCATCAGTAGATGAACGCTTTGTCTAGACAGTGCATGAATTACCATGGGGAAATTGTTATCCAAAGCAAGTGGATTTTGCTGTGGTTCCCCCTGCTCTCATGTTCACTGAAGCTACCACCTTAATTTGTGTAATGACCCATGTCACGCCTTGGACTGTTGACAGGCCAAGACTCCACAACAGAGACAGTTTTCTTTCTTTTATTAATTACTCAATCTGGTATTATGCTAAAGCCATACAACACAAAGACTTAAGCCCACTCACACTATGGATAATAATCCCTTATTAATACCAAATATATATTATGAAATCTGTGAACCTTTGCATCAACATACAGATTGGTATTTGATTGCACTCCTGGGGACTACACACTAAGTCAACAATAGCAAAGAACAACCCACAGTTCACACTTGGACCATCTGATACCCACATACATCTCCAAAAGCAAACATTCTCCAAATAGGGACAATAATAAAAACACACTTTCACCTTACAATTTCCTTTGTTATCATATGTCTTCCATTTTGTGATATAAAATTCACTACTATCAGTAAAATTTAACTGGAAATAGAAGGTGAAAACAAGGAACATGGGAAATCATGGAACATCGGATACTTTGTAAGTACTACAATCAATGCTGTCCTCACTTGTAACAATAACAAAGCCCATTTGACACTGTCCCTACAGGAACTACTGGCTACAACATTGACATCATTAGGAAGAAGAAACTGATACTATCACCAGGGTGAGGATTGTGACTCAAAAATAACAAGTGGGAGGTTTTAGGAATAAAAAGAGAATTAACAAATTATGTAGCCAGACAGTGGTGGTAAACACTTTTAATCCCAGCAATGGAGAGGCAGAGGCAGGTGGATACTTGAGTTTGAGGCCAGCCTGGTCTACAGAGGGAGTTCCAGGACAGCCAGAGCAATACAGAGAAACACTGTCTTGAAAAACCAAATAACACAAGAAATAAATGTAGAAGTGAGTGATGTTAAAATGGAAATTACTGACAACAATCTGTAAATCTTGTCCTTATATCACAGATAAGTTTACTCTTCACCCTTTTCAAGGAAATTTCTCTTTGCAACAGGCTGAGACTACTACAAAAACCCATGATCAATCACTATGCAGAGTTATGGAGCACAATCCCAACCGATACATCTACAAAACACTCCCACCCTAAGACTCAGGAAACATCACAAAAGAGGGGACAGAAGGATTGTAGGAGCCAGAGGATCGAGGAGTTGGCTGTGAGATTGTCTCCTTGAATATCACCAGCTACACCCATAAAGTCTCACCAACGTGACTGCCCAAATGTGAGTGTAACAAGGACACCACCGGATGAGCCAATCTTCGGGGGAAAGCCCATGAGGCCTCAACCCTGCACAAAGGACCACAGGCAACTAAGGAAAGCTGGGAGTGAGAGAAGTGGCCATCGGAGAGGAGAGCACACCAATTGGTGGTGCCAAATATCCCTAAAAAATACACACAAGTAACATTATATGGACTTAACACGTTACATATAGGCATCCAATAACAACTAATAAAAGAGAGGTATGAATTTGAAGGAGAGTGGGGAGGAGTGTAGGAAATGGTTTGGAGGGAGGAAGGGAGAAATGTGGTTGTTAAAATAGAGTATCAAAAATAAGCAAAATGTAGGCAATTAATAAATGGCTATTTCTTACAAAGGAGATAGGTTCTTGGACAGAGAGACTGAGTACTGGAAACATTCTGATTATTTTCTGAATGTGCATGCAGAGAGGAAGCCTTCCCTTCGGGGAGCAAAGCTGGTTCTCATCTGTGAAACACCTACATTTCATCTTTATTGGTGAATAATGAGCTATAAGTAATGAGGCTTCTCTCTCTCTGCACCCCCCTCCCCCACTCAGCCAGCAGAGAGAACTCTTGGTAAAAACAAAGAGGGAGCTGGGGATGATTTTTCAACATGAAGGCTTTATTAGGACTCTGGATGACTGGAAATAAAAAAGACAAGTCCCATAGAGAGGAACACATGGGGATCCTGAGAGGCAGGAAGACCAAGAGACTGGGAAAGAATCAAAGGCTGGAGGCAGGTGATGTGTGGATCAAGCCGGACAAGTAGACACTCACGTAGAAATGACTGAGAGTGAGGACCAAATGTATCAGAACAATTCCCTGGGGGGAAGGGAGAACCACTTTATTATATTAATTCAATTATAGCCAATTTTTCATATATTATTAAGAGGTCATATACATTATCAATATACAATTATCTTAATTGTTATACATACAATCACCTTAATTTTCTTTTGTTTTTTGTCCGTGATTTGTTCTTTGAGACAACGTTTCACTGTGTAGCTCCAGCTGTCCTGGAGCTCACTCTGTAGACCAGGCTGTCCTCAAACTCACAGAGATCCTCCTGTCTCTGCCTCCCAAGTGTTGGGATCAAAGGCATGTACCACCATACTCAGCTTTTAATTTTCATAAAACAAAATATACTTTAGGAAAACCAGTTAGTACCAAAATACTAGCATCCTCTTAGTACTGGGAGTGATACTTACATTTCATGGTCTTGTATTTTCTACTTCCTATGACAAGCATTCTGATTTTTTTCATCACAAAGGGTATAAAATCTTCTTGCAAGACAACCATTTCCCACCAAACTGATGCTCTGTTCACAAAACCTCCTAATTTCAATTTCACATCTGCTCATGAACATCTCTGCATCCATTGTTTTCATTGCTATATAAGCTCCAGTTTTTTTTTTTCAGGGTCTTTGTTTGCCATTTAATTTAAAAACAAGCACAGTGGATACATTCACGGGCAGCAAGGCCAACATTTTCTTGTCTCTAGGTAGAAAAGGTAGAGACTTGAGTTTCCTCTGGACTCTGCTAAAGAATTCACCATGGGGCCTCCACAAAACCATTTCCGTGCCGTAGCATGCCCTGCTATAAAAGGAGAACCATAAGCCAGTCTGTCTCCCAAAGGACCGTGCAGGGCTGCCATCCTACCATTTATGTATTCCCTGGGGAAGGAAGAGCAAGCAGGCTGAGTCGTGTCCTCATGGCCCCGTGATAGAAATCACACCTCCCGCAAGCCCCTTCTCTCTGTTTCTCCGTTTCATCTCACCCTCTCAGCCTGCTTTCTCCTGATGGTCATTTGGCAGTAAAACTTCTTTTTCACTCTCAGCACTTCAGCAAATTCTGGCTGTTACTCGCATACTTCTACACTTATTGCTGTCTGCTTAGCTCTGGCACTCCGTTGGGGGTGTGAATATTTCCTGTCTTCTCATCTGCAACTTCTTCCAGCAACCCTTCACCCCTTTCTTGCTGAGAGCTTGGCTAGCCTCTCCCCATGGTCCTTGTTTCTATTTTAAAAAGTGCACGTGGTGCCGCATCCAGGCTCCCACTTTTCTTGCAGATCTGAACGCCTCCAAATCTTAATGCAATCGTATCTACTTTCAGGGCTGCAGTCATTTGTCCTTGGCTCGAGGTTTCCCAGAACTGACTGGCACAGGAAGCCCTTTTGGAAGGGCGGTTGGCACAAGACTCGATTGGCAGGTTTGGGGGGAATCATTTCGGTTACACTTTCCTCTGCCAAGACTGTATTCCCTAGTGCCCCAGTTTGAATTTTAAATTTCCATCAAGACCACCTGCCTGGTGTTAATTAGTTATGGTTTTGTATTTTATATGCAAACTTATTTTCCCATCCATGAGCTGGCACGGCCCCGTTGGGCTTCTCTTCCAGTTCTGCACAAGCAGCTTTCTCAGAAGCAGGCTGCAGTCAAGATGGAAAAGCACTCACACGAGTCCAAGGATGGAGCTGACAAGGGTCAAGTCAGTTCCAGCAAAGCCAGCTTGCCTCGATTTTGGTACTCCTGTCTTGAGAATGTTGACTTTATAATTTGGGGGTAATTCTTTCTTGCCCTACACCTCACATGACCACTAACCTCTCTAGTCACCTACACAGGAGATACGGAACAAACCTGATTTTAATGCTGTTTTGGAGACCTCTGTCACTGACACTCATTTGTGGTACAGTTTCCAATCACCAGTTAGTGACTCTAATTGATTGAGATTCCTTATTTTATTTAAGACCAAGAGAAGAAATGACCTTTTCTGCCAGCATGAAAGCATCAAGAGATGAATGTTCCTTTCTTCCAGTGGTAAAAGCATGGCAGAAGACATGTTCTGACCAGATAGATAACTTTCTCACTGCACTTTTCACTCAACTAACAGGACGGAGAGTAAAACCCATTAAGATGGTAAATACTCACACCTGTTCTTAAAGAAAAAAAGTTGACATAACAATTAAATAAAACAAAGTATAACAACCCAGTTTTCCACAAGTGAAACAAACAAATTGAATCTGAGGGAGTAGATCATCAGACAGTAACTGTCAAGAAGGGCTTGTATCTGAAGGCACAATGTGGCTCTGATGTCATGGCTTCTCCAGATTCATACATTAAAGCCTTCTCCATCATTGTGATATAGGAGATGGTCCTTGGAGGTGAATAGATTATGAGGGTAGATCACTCATGAATGTGATTAGTGCCTCTAGAGACTCCAGAGAAGAACCCAGAACTCCTACTGCCCCCAGGATGTACCAAGACTTCCATCCATAGACCAGGAAGCAGGCCCTGGTGAGATGCTGAATGAACTGAGGTCTTCCAGCCTACAAGACTGAGTTTACATGTCTGCTGCTAATGAACTGCTTGGTTTGTGTTATTTTGGTATCATAGCTTAAATTAAGACATGACACTTTGCTTTTCTCTCAGTTGGTTTCCATAGAATTTAAAAATAATATTTAGCTGATATAGAAAAAATATCAACCTGCTATTGTTCTCATTTGTACGTGTACTTGAGTTGTCCCTTCACATCTAGCAGAGTGACAAGGAGAGACGTCTTTATAGACATGCTACTGCTGTGTCTGAGGCCCATACAGTCTGAGTTTTCATCCTGTCACGCCAGTGTCTAAGTCCAGGGCTAAAGTGGCTGAAAAGACAGGGTATGGAATTACTTTTCCATCATAATTTAGTGGACAATTTTCTGAGTGCTAAGTATTAAAATGATTTTAGTAAATGATAGAAAACACTAGTCCCAGGAAGTGGAGGGATTCCATTTCTCCTTTTGCCTCTTTAGACCTACAAATAATGAGGGATTAGCTGGCAATTAGAAAAACCACTGGCCAAGTCAACCTGGCCTTCCCCACTGGGAATGATTGTAGGACTCCTCCTTTCATACATTGTCCCAGGAAGCCTTCAGATGAAGGAAGGAAAGACTCTGTGACAAGTGAGTAAGATTGCTCAGCTACCACCATGACAGATTGGAAAAAAAATCTAACTTGATGCTGGATGACAAACCCAAATGCACATCATCTAGAAGCAATTATGTTATGCAAAAAACATAGTTCATATCAGTTTTCATACATTTTGCATACTAATTCATAATAGATATTTTAGACACTATGCATTTTGGAAATTATATATTCTTTCAGAATTGATGGTAGATTTTTGCTAAGCAGTTTATTTATCTATCTACCATTTATTTATTTAATGCATGTGAATTGGTATTTTGCCTACATTTATGCCTGTGTGAGGGTGTCAGATCTTGGAGTTGCAGACAGGTATGAGCCATCATCTGTGTGCTGGGAATTGAACCGAAGTCCTCTGGAAAAGTGCTCAGTGCTCTTAACCACCGAACCATCTCTCCAGGCCCTGGTAAGCAGTTTCTTACTAAGCTGTAGCTGTAACTGTGTGGAATCCCTAGCACTTACCACAGTTGTACATTCACCACTTTGGTGAGCTCTTCTTTGAAAGCAATGCAGGAGACACTAGACAGAGTGTGTATTTTATTCTAATTGTTCTATCTCCCCTCACTTGATCTGCCTTCTCAGGGCAGAGGCATACTCCTTTCACGGCAGGTGACTAAACATCATTCCATGGCCATATGCTGGGAGCAGTTATCTGACACATGTAATTTTTGGTTGTTCTAAATTCTTTTATCTCGTGGGAGCTGGCTGGATTTTCCCTTGATAGATGGAAATCAGCTTTGCAATAATTGCTGTTTTGCCATTAATTCACTTCCTAAAGCACTTCATTCTCTAGCCCACTGACTTCAGACCCTGTATTCGAATTGATAATCTGTACACCTTTCGTATGTATAATTCAACTTCAACTCTGATTTCACAGCTTTGAGATGAAAGTCTAGCCAGGCGTGGCATCTCCAGCCAGGAGGCTGAATCACGAGTGCTATGGACTGAGGCCAGCCTGGGCTACATAGCCAGTTACAGGGTCTATTTTTTAATTTAAATTAGAAACAAGTTTGCTTCACATGTCAACCCCAAGATGTCATATTATGTATGTACAGATAGTCTATATTTTAAGAAAAATAAAAAGCAAACCATTCTTCATTTGGAACTTTTTGGATAAGACAGTTACTAAAGTAGCAGACGGCTGAAACAAAGGATTCCACAGCAGGCAGACAAATGTCTTATTTGACTGAGGCCTGGGGAAACAAATACATCAGTGTGATCTAAGCAACAGTTAGCTGTCAGACATTTTATAAGAAGTTTTATCCAAATCAACTATGTCGTATAGGATACATCAAAACCCTTGAGTATCTTAAATTCCACTCATCACACACACAAAACCTTATGCAGGCTTTAAGACTTGACTTAAACTCTGGGTGATCCTGAATTATCAAAACCAGTATTATTTTGTATAACGACAGTTCAACACAAACAGTGTCTTTCACCGTCTTTTTAAGCCTGGCTTTTAAAAAAGAGACACCATGTCTCCAGATTATAAAGCATGAAAATCCCATTTTCCCTAATATTTTTGATTAAAAATAAAACCATAATTTTAATCAACTTTACTAGTAATCAAATAATTTTCCAGGAACCTGGCCCAAATGTTCTACCTAATATATACAATCCACATGATCTCCATAAAAATCCAAGTAATATGTTTTATGAATAAAAGATTGGTATAACATTTCTATAAAGCCAAAATATTTTTGTAAAAGTCACTGTCATTAGAATCCAGATTGTTTTTCAACATTCCCTCAATAAATCTAGGAGGCTGAATTTATCTTTTATGAAAAATATAAGAAAAACCTCACTGTGAAAGCACTTACACTTGTGTTTTTTTCTCTCAAATGTGATTAGAGTAAAATAACTTTGAAATTTCAAGATCTACAGAAATGGAAAGAAACCCGACCAAATCTGAATTTTCTCAAAAAAAAAAAAAAAGATTGGATGCCATTTTGAAACACATGTATCCATGTGTTGCCAGTCTCCATCTGCTTGTCAGCCACCAAACCTCCCAAAATGTCATCTAATCTCGATTACAGACAGGTTTCTCCAAGCTCACTCTTTCGAATGTTCATAACTAAAAGACATAAATTCTTTAATACTGTTTGACATAAAGGGTTCAAAGTTAGACAGAGCGGCTTGCTCTCTGTAGGGAAGACTTTCAACCCAGCATTCTCACAGTAGCTCATGTCAGATACCCCCCCCCCGCACACCCCCCTACACCCTTCCACAAAAGTAAAGGCTGTTCCTTACCGTGTTCTTCTTAAACATCTCATTAAACGAATGATGCCAACACAACTACTACTCCTATAGTGTCGTGCTGAATCCTAGAAATGCAGACATGGAAACCCTGGAAATGTCATAGACCATTTGACAAGGAGCAGAGCCATCACCCAGAAACTGTACAACCTTAATGGGGCAGGGAGTTGTTGGATGACTTCAAGAGCCACCAGCTGCCTGAAGACCACAGTATGTCAGAGACAGGGTGCATAAGCCCTCCCAGATGTTCACAACTGGATGTGAAGGACAGCATATCCACAGCACACTGGACTTTAGGAATTTCTTTGAGTCCTTGAAGGGAATCCGTGCAAACATCGGAGGGTGACAGATGAGGCAGCAGAGTCTCAGGGGCGTAGAGCTCTTTAGATGGACAAGGAGCCAAAGGATGAGAAAGGAGCCAGAATGAGTAAGAGCAGGATCAAGCAGCAATTTCTTCATAAAGTGACAACCCCATCTTTGTTTTCTCAGGCCTGTGTATAGTACACACAACTCTAAAACCTACCCTCCTGTCAAGTAAAGCACGGGATTGCCTTATCCTCCAGTATCATAACTGTAATTTCTTTTTCCAGAGAGAACATTCTCTGAAACTAACAACAGAAGCTTGGGTCTCCTAAGCTAATGGTTCCTCCAAAGTAATGCAAACCCCATACACATTAATGTTTGATACCTGAACCACACCACTGTACCTGTGAAAACCAGTACAGCCATGAAGTTCATGATGTTTTTTGTTTGTTTGTTTGTTTGTTTTGTTTTTT